GACGTACAACCCGATAGTTGTCAGAAACCGAAGAATATCTAACTCTTTCTCCTTTTCTCACGCATCGCACTCTCCCTTTTCGTGCATGACAAGGTAAGAGAGTACAATCGTGAGGCGAGAAAAAGCCGAAACGATGGAGACGAAGTCGACGAACCGTCGATTAAGGATCTCTCGAGAGGCACGAAAAGTCGAAAACGTCGGAGGTTGTTACGAAGGGACAGTCTGTCGGTTGACAGAACTCGTTTCAGTCGAATCGAAAGACCCAATCTGCTCGAAAGTGTCCGAATACGAAGAATGAAAAAAGGCGTGAGACGCGGGAAATTCTTCTTCTGTTTGTGCTCATCGCTCGCAGCGATAGTGCGTATTCCAAAGATAGAATGATCGATACGGGCTCGAGATTGTTTCAGAGATAGTCAACCGTGTCCGAGGTGAGATGTTAATCGATGGCTCTGATAATCTAACGAAAAAAGTCTTCTGAAAAAACGTTGCAGTCTGGCACTAGCCATATCTTGTCGTATAATCGAATAAATTATATACCTCTCTATTGTAGGCATCAATAAAACTCTTGCAAATGAAACATTATGTTGCAATTCACATTTCGCGATTCAAATTTGATATTTTAAAATAAATAACTACGCAAACTCAAATTTCATATCTCATTGATATTTAAATGCATATCATCGATGCGCTTATCTAAATGTTTTTGAAAACACGCTCTGCAAAAATGCCGATTAAATGGCAGATAGATGTAAAAAGGCTATCATCATCTGTATAAAATATGAACAATCGCATTGTGCCCACGTTCATGATCGTCGAGCGCGATACGATTAATGTAAAAATAAAGAAGAAACGATAGATAAAAGTCGAATGCGTGATAGCGGATGAAACATTGCCGCACCTTTTGAGAATACAAGGTAACGTTAAGAGCGCGTATTCGGTCGGCGAGAGATCATGAAAGGGAATTAACGTTCGTTCGTTTGCGAAGAATACAAAGTGCGGGATATCGCGCGCGGGATGTATTAAATTTTACGAGATCGCCGCGTGTACGCCAGGTATGTTTACCTCGTAAGTAGCGCACGCGGCGCATAGTTCCTCGCGAGGCCGTATATCGCGATCGGTCAGCCAGGTTGAGATAGAATCTTTTATAACCACCGCGAGAAGGTAAACGAGTTTATGTCCGCGAGCGATTGCGACACGATATGTTAATGCCCGAGCCGTGCTCTTCCCACGTGTCAGCGCGCCGCGTTTCCAACCATCCTGGAAAACATTCCCCGGCCTGACACACGTGACGTCTCCATCGAAGCTTTCGATGAAAGTCTCGCTGGACGATGGATGGACGACACAAGTGTCGCGAAGCGTCGATGAACGTTTAAAAAGCGAGTGTCAAACGTATATCGCTCGTACACCTTGATTTTTATTGTATACGTGACGCGGTCTGATCTCCGGAATAGATACGGTAAATGTGCCTTCTCTTTCTCCTCTCTTCACCCTCCATCCAGCGATATTCAACGTAGAAGCTTATAGATCGAACTCATAAACTTTTTCCAGGCTGATTCCGAGTATTTCCGAGACTGATTCAGGAATCTTATCGATTCCGCTATAGCTTCGTCGAAATAAATGCCACTGGCGGGCAATTTCCCGTACGAGGGAGAAGGAGTTTGGAGGGAAAATGTTCGTCCAAACAGCACGAGAAACCACCACGGAGTTTAGGTCGTTTAACGAGTGATGGAATACAAATTAGGTCCGTCGAGGATGTTGTCGTCGGTCTATCGAAGCGAAGGAGGCGACCGAAAAACGGACGTCCACGATGATATCTCGCGGTAAACAAGCTGGCACGTTAATGAGGGCCCATGATGAGAGGGAAAGGACCGTGGATAGACAGAAAAGGAGAGCGAACCGAGCAAATACCTCGACGTATGGTGACAACCCCGGATACGTCGATAGCATCTCGACATTAAGTATGAGTAACTCGGGTTGTGAGTACATACAAGTAAGGTTGTGCAAGTCTACATGCGTCAATACTGTCGGAGTGAGGCAACCTAATCGACTTATGCGATCGTTTATATAATAAAAAAATAATAATAACAAATCGCTTATAAATATAGTCACAAAATTTTACTTGTAAATGAATATCCCATTAATGCTTTCATTTAGTACTTATAACAATTGATTTCAATTTTTGTTTGCCTATAAAAAATACGCAATTTTTATGGAACTTTATAAATAATATTGATTTTTCAACTATTTGCCTTTATTTTAGTTAAACAGTATTAAGTTTGCATTAATATATAATGATCCTAGTGTTTAAATAACACTACTGTTGGGGAAAAATGCGATAATTTAATTAAATTCGATAAATTGAAAAAACAATAGCATTGTTTTATTCATCGAGAGATAAATCGATTCGTCAGGTTGTTCAGCGACATTTCGGAGCACCTTTACCGCGACGCGAAGCGACGATGTAAGTAATTAATCGCTCGTTAATGCATTCGCTTCTCGAAGCTCGCGGACGTGCTTTCGCGTTTAATGACGTACGCACGTTCATGCGACGTTATTCGCGATCGGAAAAAGATACGCGACGAAATACGACATTATACGACATTATAGATTGCATTGCAAATTTCCCGAGATTTTTCAGAATCTAATTAAGAACCACACGCGTGCACACACGTCGCGATATCGAGGACGGAAGTGTCATGTCGCGCGCGAGAGATAATTCAATAATAATAATTCTAGTAATAGATAATTATAAATGTTACCGACTCTCTTATCACACGAATATAATTTATGTCGACAGGCACCTTTAATCGTTTATGCGCAATTAACACCACTTTATATTCCTCACTTCCGCGCGTAATTCTCGATTTGTGTTTTTTTATAAGAACAATCTGCATCTCCGAGAAATGTGTCGGGCGTCTCGATTCAAGTAGCCTGATCGGATCGTAAGAAAACAAGGCGATACGCGTATCTCATCTTGGACGTGGACGTTCGTTAAACGCGTTCGCTCGGTGAAAGTGCCGAGCGCGGATTATCATGTTTCTGTCGCGCTGCGCAGGAGAGCTATCAATTTTTTTTTCCTTCTCTCTCGACGATCTCGCGTGCGTCAACGGCTATACTTTCTATAGCAGCCACGTGCGAAACTCCCGAGTTCTACGCTCTTTCACGACAGATCCCGCGCGCGCGAAGATTGATATCTGGTCACGAACTAGCTGTAGCTCGTGCGCGAGACACACGCACGCTCAATTCGCGATTATTAAATCTGAAGATGACTTAACAATGTGGGATGTACGCTGGGTACGTGGAAACGAGAAAAGTTTTGCCTTCGAAAGACTTCCCGACGTGGAAAGCCGATGGTACGCGCGTGTCGCGCAATATTATCCGTTTGCCTTGTAATTTTCGTGCGAATTTGTAATTAAACGTTGAGAAAAGTTCGTAAATAACATCGGCACGCGACATTTCCATTAGACGATATCATTACTTGGGAACGAGAGTCGGCCCCGATATACAATTTGCAGCTAGCAGAAAGATTGTGTCCTATATTTAACATACTTCTTCTTTACATCTTCTTTTCAACTAGCGATGTTCGAAACGTATATGATCACACGTTTCGAATCTCAGCTTGCTTTTAAAGACACTAATTTCTATTCAACCCACTTATATTTACGTACCCATTACCGGTGCGCGATCGAAACGAGCAATTAGGCCATTCACCTTAGATTAGAGCCGCGAACTTGTACGTCTAAGCGATTGAGGAAATTAAAACGACTGCAAGAAACTCGCGCGAGATCCTTGACAACGTTTTTCCGTGACAAATACAGATCCGTATCTTCTCACGAAAGCGGCCGTTGCACGCTCCATTTGCATCGTCGGATATTACAACAATGAGGGGATGCAACGGCTGCTTCTTAACTTGAGCATTACCATGAGCGAGAGCCACCATTCATTATTCTCTCCTAGTCCCGCTTCTCTCTCTTTCTCTCCGATTATCGGTGGTCGTTTCTTTCTCTCGCTTGGTCGTCGTGTTTATGATTGTTATTGATCAACTGTTTTGTTCCTCACCCGCGTGTACATATATATGTGCGTGCACGCTTGGCCGAAATGGCACGCCACGCGGCGCTATAATGTTGGCACGACAGAACGAGTATAGAGACGGCGGACCTTAATGAATCTTTATGGGATGATGTCGTGAACTTGTATATCCTCCGATAACTGACTGAACTCGGTCGAGCCACTGGCAAGACTTATTCGTCGCTATCGAACTTGTCGTTCGATATTGTCAACGGATATACATTCTCGTTATTGCGCGCTCCAACAGTCTAATAAATCGCGAAAAGTATATAGAAAAATATATTTCTCATCTGATTACATTGGAAATAAATATAACGAACGAGAAGCCATCTACATAAATATGTGTCATCAAAATAATGATCTCGTATCGCGTCTATATCGCTTTGAAAAAAAAAACATGAATTTTTCGAAGCAATGAAATTAGAGACACGATGAATTATTCTTTGCTATATTTTCTGTGACTACGCCAATGCGACCGACTGCTCATTAGCCTCGACGGTGGCGTTGCCGCGAGTTTGATGGTGTAGACGACCGTGTTCGTAAAATTTGAAGGGCGTGTAAAAGGACCGTGGGGTCCCGGCTGGCCGCGCGCGTCTTGATTGTCATCAACTCGTTGCTCGTCGCGTGATATTGTCATTAGCCCGCCTCAACCATCGTCACCCGCGCGAGTCGTGCTTGGATGTAAAAGAGACCTACTTTAGGCCCCACGGATCGATTCGCCACGACCGATCGATCCGAAAATTCTTTGTAGCTTGTCATCTACACGCGCCTGTATTTGATCCAACGTAACTTTCAGATTTGCCATTAAATGGTTACAGATAAAATACTGCGTTCCCCGTTTAAAAACTGTGCAATTTAAATAATGCGAAGCAAAATTGTATTTTCATAATATTATTCTTTGCAGTTTTCACTGATATATAACGTAGACTTACCGGGGTCCGATGAATCCAGACTGGCTGGCGCTTGCTGGCTGAGGGGTCCGGGTGTACCGCCACTTCCGGGACTACGCGCATCGTCGTTAGCACCCGCGCCAGGGTACGAAAGCGACGAAGAAGGTGGCCTCTGTAACGTAAAAAGAAATCATGAATTAATTTTGTTAATGGTTTCTCTTTATTTTCATAAAAATATTTTTCATATAAAAAATATTTTTCATATAAAAAAAAATTCTCTTTGCTGATATTAATATTATATGAATATTGATGATACATCATATATTGATGATATATCATATATTGTGGTTGTCAAGTGTAAAAATTAAAAAATTCGTAGTAGTCTTACAATCCAGCACTGCTTATCGTGAGATCATATCATGTGTCTATATGTATTATTTTCGCCTTTAATAGTCTTCTTTCGTGCAAGTAAAAAGGTTTCCGGCTTGTGAAGCGCGTGTTACGCCAACGTGCGTTAGGAATTTTTTCGAGCGTTTCACGCTGGATACGCACGTGCATACACGATGTCTTTGGATATTCTTTCAATCACTACAGGTACAATTGAGGACCACGTTCGAGAAAAACAATCAATTTGATTGATAGTTTACTTGAATTAATTATGAAACGGAGAACCAAAGTATTAATAGCCATACAATATACTATTTTGGTATACGCTCAGGAAAAAGAAATAATTTATTTCATATAATCTCAATCAAATATGTAACACATTTACTATTTAAATTGATGTTTACATACGATCTCAAACGATCTCTGATATTAATGAATGCTCCAAAATAGTGTATCGTAAAATAGAACGTGATTAATCAATGATTAATTTTAATTATTCTTTTCATTCAAACCTTCTGACTCTTAAAAGAAATTTTTGCATTTTCTAACAGACATCCCGTATACAAGATCCATCGATGACCGCGCGTCGAGCTGTTTTCGATCTCGATTAAAGACGGAGCACACGTATCTCACGAAAATGCTGCCGGCATACTTAAATGATTCGAGATAGCCCAGCGGGACGCGCACGACTTACGAATCAACGAGTTTGCTGGGAGCGCGCGACGAATGTCTACCGTAAAATATTCCATCGTTTATTCCGCAGGTGTAGCCGTGTGATAATGATGTTCGTATAGAATCCTCATCGCCGTAGGAGGATAGAAACGAGACGAATCCGCGGTAATGTACAGTGGCGTCCATAAATACGTGGTTAGTTTCGCAAAGAAATGGCTGATGAGAGTGAAAAGAAGGAGAAAATATTCTAAATTATTATAGTATTGTCTCTGCGTACATCGTCGGAATTTTCCATCTGAAACGCGAGGAAAAAAATGTCCGCGAGTTCAGTAAACTTTCTTCTCCTGCCATGAAATACTTGATGGTATACGAACAACAAATCGTAGATCAATCTAAGGCAATTTGCCGATCCTCATTCACGTGCTTCAAAGTGTTATTACAGCCACGAGATGGAAGGCGTAAGAGGATATTCATTGAATGATTCCTCATAACGATCGTACGATGAACGGACTGGCTGATCTTTAGGGTCATTGGCTTTATTTTTCGAGCATCGAATTTTTTCTGACCATGCGCGACGCGTTCTTCGAAAAATAGCCATTTGTTCGAAAGCAACTTTTCGTATTTTTTATCGAAACTGTCGTGAAAAAAATCGCATTTGCACGTGCCAGTTTATTGATCCCGTCGCGGGTCGAAGGGTAAGAATTTGAAGCGAGCGAATCTCTCAATATCACGAAGCGAAATATCTGGATATATCACGTCTGGCCAGGCAACAATGAGTGACAGCTACTCCCACATGCTGTCATAGGCGTCATCTTGGCGATAATGTACCGACTCCCTCTCTCGATTGCCTGCTCTCGTATCTCGCCTGAAATCGTTACACGGTCAACTCTAGATCTCCGCGGAGACATGTCACGTGAATTTACTGCTTTGTACGAACCATCATGGACAAACATTCAACAACATTTAGAAACGATAAGTAAACAATCACGTTAAACAATTATAATTGCATATTGTCACTTGTCGGAACAAATAAAAAACCAAGAAAACGTTTTTGCTTTTTACTGTTGGATGTACTTTTTAAATATCTTTTCTTTATCATCTTTTAAAAAGAAAAATATTTATAAAACTTCAAAAGAGAGAGAATTATCATTTCAACTTAGAAAGTTACTAAATTAAAAGCTAAATTTAGAAAAAAGACGTCTCGAAATTTTTTCTTATCGGGAAATCTCAAGCAGAAGCACAACAAGGCACAGGTAAAATCAAAAGTCTTGACTCTGATTTGACTAATCGCTCACGATCCTTGAATGACTATTTGTTCAGGGACTGCAGGGCTTATAGATTGCACGAGCAAGTAAATACACGAGAGTGGTAACGAACGACTAAGGGGGACATTAATAATGCATCGGTCGTCGCCGGTCCGCTTCCTATTGGCACCCAACGTAAAACGAGGGATCATGGTCGACTACGCGGATGATCTTTAGATCGTAAATAAATTTATTATCGCAATAATTGGCCGGACGACATTATTTCAATGAGATTCTCTCGAAAAATTCGACTGTGTCCAATTCTTGCATAGTTCTTAATGCGCTGCAGCAATTTTTAAACAATTCTTTTTTGCGACGCGACACATTCTCAAATTTTATTTTATCTTAGAATCCTGGAATGATTATTTTAACTCAATTTTAACGATAATTATTAAGGGATTTCATGAATACGCTCATCAAGTCGCCCTCATCCTTTCGATAGCTTTCAATCGTTCGATAAAAACAGTCGCAGGGATTTACGTCGCATATGAATGTGGTTCACGGTGTACCTCTAAAACTGACGTCACTTCCTACTAAAGACTGAATCGCCGTTTTTTAAGTGGCCAGTAGGGTCCACGGTGACTCGTGTCGATGCAATGATAAACGGGTTAACGGGTCGACGTGCTACGCGCTCTCGTTTCACGTTGTTGCCTCTCGCTCGCACGTCCATCCCGCCGTCCGTCTCTGTCTGTATATGCCAGTCCGTCTACTATGGGCACTCTTAAAGTGTAATTCGACAAACCGGATGTCTGGCCTGCCCCTTAAATAAATCAGTTGCCCGCATCTCATATTCCACCCCCGCTCGTCCATTCCGTACGTTCCCTTCTCGTCGGGTAAGAACGTCTTTTCTAGACCCTGAGAATACGTCCTCGAGAGGAAGCAATAGTCATCGAGAAACCCTTCGGACGAACGATTTGCGACTTCTATATGGGCGAAGGACGAAAACTCGATTTCTCGAAGAGCGACAACGTTAGATAATATCGATTTGCGCCTTGACTTCCGGCATAGTTAAAGCCATCGTTACGTTACGAAATGTCTCGTAGAATGCGTAATATTTTATAAGGACCGCCGTGTGCAAGTGTAAGCGATTGGAATCGGGAATCGCTTTTAATATCCGCCATAAAGCACTGTCGACGCGCGTTTACTGTTGTCATCTTGGCGAACCATAAATTACGATCGCTCATCGAAACGGCATACACAGATGCGACGCGTGTATCGCGCGCGTATTAGATGATCTAGAGCATGAATCGCATTTCGGAGCGGAATCGCGCGAGATCGCGAAGATGCGCAATTTAATCTCGCGAATCGCGCTTTAAAATAATCGTACGCATGTATTAATTGGCCGCGGTGTAATGCCATATAATTATGTAATTAGAGGCCGGGGCATTAGTCTCGCTGACTGGTTTACGGGCGAGATACGTAAATCTCTGCAATTAATTTATTGGTGCTCAAGAACGCTCGAGAGGAGGCTAAGAGAACAAGACATAAACGAGGCGAATAGATGCGATAAAGACGGAGAAAACTAACGGGTCGAAGAGAGATCGACAGAATGACTGAGATAGAGACGGATAGATTATGGAGGCAAGGCAGCACATTGTGTAAGCATGCCCATCGACTGGACCCAGATCTAAAGTCTCTGACTTCTTAATCGTCCCACAGAGCGGAGTGAGAACGGGCAGAAACGAATGCGAGAGAGAACGGGTGAAAAGGAGACGGAGCGATAGACTCCGAAGAAAGAGAAAGAGAGGAGGCTCCTAGTCTGTTCGTGTAGTCTTGAATTTCTCGGCGATACTGGCGGGCGTATAGGGATCATAAATTACGATTTATTGCAGTGGCAGCGCCTCCGCTCGGCGGATTATCTTACCGTTATGTCAGCACGCTACAATTATATTTACATTTCCTTCGTAATGGAATATCATCGCAGTCATCCAGCCACGAACTAAACGAGACGTGTCCGAGATGGATTCTCAAGGTAACTGGGTTATTTGCCTCGAAGGGATATAGCGTCGACTTAGAGCGCTTTTAAAATATCCATAAAGAGAAAATCGGAAAATTGTTCAAATCACAAAATTCTTGTGATAACCTTTATCATTTTCATCTTAGAAATAGAGTAAAATATCTTTACTACACCGAATAAAATATCTCGTGTATTCGAATCGTTTTGATTAGGAAGGATATTTTCCCTCCATCAATCAAATTCGAGTTAAAGTGCTATATAATGATAACGGATTTATAGAGTAAAGGAGCACAAAAAACGTGTGGTAGGTGGGATTTTAGAGGCCCGCCTAACAATAGCCACAAGATTCGAGAGATTAAATAACCACGAGCTCAAATTTTAACAAGATGTACCACCTGACTGAGGAATGATTTTAAAACGCTCATATAAACGAAACAAATTTATGACGACTGTGAGATAGAAGAAAGAACGGGATGGGGCAGCAGCCTGTTTTGGAGCTTCGGCCAGCGTCCGTTTCCTTTCACGGAATGAATGCACGAGTGAGCGATACTTTAAGGAAGACGACCGGTCAGTCATAAATATGGAATTTGGGTATTTGGCGCGTTGTGTCAATAAAACCAAGCCCAGATTCGTGCTGTTGCTTTTACGACTCCTACTGCATCCATCGCTTTTGCTATTGGCGCGTGTTATCGGAAACGTATTCGCAAAAACGAGTTTCGATTCCAGATATCAAAACTAGACTCCTGTACACCGTAAAATTCGAGATATTTGCGATATCGATTTTTTATCAAATATTTAGTATTATTTCTAAACGGTAAAAACACATTATGCTTCTTCCTTATCGCAACGGAC